CACCTGAGCACTGTCAGTGCTGCGCTAGGCGCTGGGGGATAGAATGGAGACCAACACAAACATGGTTTCTGTTGTCATCGAGGTAAGAAAGCCAAAAACCACACTCACGGCCATCAAGTCCATGCTGGCTCATAGTGACCCTAGTATAGGACAGGGTAGCACGGCTGTGGGTGAGACTGTCACTCTTGACAAGAGTAGAAAGCACAGTGGCTGGGGTGGTTCCCAACTGCTGACCACGACACCAGCAGGGCTCTCAGTAGCTTAACAAGACAAAAACATACCCACCCACCCCAAGTATCACCAACTGGGGTAAGAAAGATTGGTGCAAAGGAGACATACAAAAGCCTTTCTCCGAGGATGAGGAATTAACTCAGATCACAGAGGTGGGAACTGTGCCCTCCCAGGTGCCAAGACCCAGACAGTTTAGGCCAATAGGTCTGCATGATCCTGCCCACTTTTCAGCAACACTGCTCTCTGACCACCTCTGCAATGTGGCCCCAGTGGAGCTGGTGGCTCTAAGCAGTGAGAGGTGTGTTTTACATTGTGTGTGTGTGGGTGGGGGGGGAGTGAAAGTGAAGAGACCAGGTGGGAGAGCAGAGGCCAGGCCTGTTGCAAATGCTTTCAGTGTACTTACTTGCTAGCCAAAAGGTTGGAGAAGTTCAAAGCCTCCCCAGAGGCACCTTGAATGAAAGGGCTGGCAATCGACCTCTGAAAAAAGTATCTGTTGAAAGCCCTGGGGAGTGCAGTTCTACTCTGACCTGCCCGGAATCAGAATCAACTGCTGGGCAACTAACTGGTTTGGCTTGCAGGGGTCCTCAAACTACCGCCCCACAGGGTGTTTTTGCCCCATTTTGTTTTTTTACTTCAAAATAAGATATGTGCAGTGTGCATAAGATTTTGTTCATAGTTGGTGTTTTTTTTCATCTATAGTCCCGCCCTCCAACAGGTCTGAGAGACAGTGAACTGGCCCCCTGTTTAAAAAGTTTGAGGACCCCTGGTTAGGGTTTAGTCGGGGCAGGGAGAGAAACTGAGAGCTTGACCCTGAATTTGGAAAGAGATAGACCACTACAAGCTACACCACAGCGACCATTTTAGTGCAGGTAGTTCCAGAGATCAGCTGACCCAAGGTCGCACAGCACACTGGCAGCTTCTGTCCTCCTAGCTCAATGCTCTTTGTAATACTGTCCTTCACCTCCCCACTTGTCAGGGAAGGTCACATAAGAGGTGGCCATTTCTGTGCCTGTGCTCAGAGACCCTGTACCCTACACCCCTGGTATAGCCCATGTAGAAGGTGCCCAGAATCCTCTCGAGCTGCGAGTGACATTGGTGCCCTCCCATGTTATGACCACGCGCAGTCCTCCTCTCCGTCTCTGGACTCCTTGACTCTCCGGATCCCTCCGCAGCCGGCACTCTGCCTGGTGAAGGCAGGGGTCAGTTTCCTGAAGTGTCAGTCTTCGTCATCCTTGGTCTTCCCTCTCAACCCTTGAGGACTTGGGAGAGAACCCCAGGCCAGAGAATGGACGCACAGATCTTGTGGGCTCCACCCCTCCTGATCTGATCTGAAGAAATCAACCTGGAGGCTCAGGCTGGGTTTGGAGTTCTGGGCCAAGAGTCTTGCATTGTACTGGGCTACACAGACTTTCAAAATAGAATCTATTTTCTCCCGCACTCCCAAACTCCTGAAAGGAAGATGGGCTAAACGTTGACCCTGAGAGAAGGAACCATCCTAAACTAGCCCTTTGGGGCAGAAATCTCACTTTGGTGGACTGTGGGCACCCTGCAGGGGGCACTGACGCTAGCACCTAGTTCCTCAGGAGATCACTAATCTTCACTAAACGAATGGTGCTTTTTAAAAATTAAGCCCTAATTCACATATAAAATTGTCCCTTTTGGCATGCAACAGGACAGCAAGGGGAATAGAGCAGCAAGGGGAACAGAGCAACGAAGTCCCCAGAGAATACCAAAAATAGATTTGGGGGCCAGGGTATGATGCCCCAACAGACTCGACTGGAAAACACTCCTAAAGGCCAACAAACAGTCCTTGAGCTAACCATAAGCTTTTCTTTCTTGTTGTGTTGTGTTGGGGTTTTTTGCCATTGGCTTGTTTTGTATTATTTTGTTGCTTGGTTTTGCTGTCTTGTTTTTGTGTGTGTTATTATCTCCGCAGGTCTGTCTAAATAAGATAGGCTGGATGAACAA